CTTGGCTAGGGATGTGTCCCATTGGCGAATATACATCCAGGGAGTGGTGGGGAAGTTCAGGGTCAAGGGGGAAATGATGTATTTTAGGATCGGCTGCATCCAGCTAACACCAACATGGCCACTTCTAATAAATCAATTTTATTTTCTCTTGAGAGATGCGGCTAGAGACTTATGATTTGAATGAGGGTGGATTTGTTGGAGTCCTGACAGCAGTATTGGTTATTAACAACAGTGCATTGTTAATCTGGCTTCCCCGTGGACTTGGCTTGTCAGGTCTCAAAACATGATTATGTCATCCCGGGATGCTGTGTCCATCATTAAATGTGAGCCCATGGTCGAGCATCTGAATGTAAATCAGGTGTCCATGGGGATGCTGCAATGGTGGTAAGTGTGAAAAACGGCTGTAAGTCCTTTTTTTTCCAGTCCCGTTGGAACTTCGAATGGTCACTGAAGGAACTGTTGTAAGTCAAGGACTACCTGTATGGATTTCCCACTTGGCATTCTCTGAGCTTGGTGGTTTTCTTTGCGGACATTTCGTTACCAAACTAGGTCTGCCAAAAAAAAAACAAAAAAACCCAACCAAGCTCAGAGAGCACCAAGGAGCAAAGGACTTCCCCGTCTTCTTCCTGCTCCTCCAGGATATCAACACTGAGACAAGCTGGGGATTATGGGATAGAATGTAGTAGGCTGGGCTCCCAGGTGGGAAGGGGTACATTCCAGATTGTAAGAGGAGTGGGTGGCGGAGTCGAAAGAGGAATCGGCCTAGCATCCCTACGTCCAACCTCTCTTGAATTCCGTTGACTCTTATCTAGAGCCCAAATAAGTTATCCATTAGTTGAGTACATTGAATTTTTTTGTGCTTGAGAGAATAGCAACAGCACTTAAGATTTATATATTGCTTCACAGTGATTTTACAGGCCTAAGTGGTTTATAGGGTCAGCCTCTTGCCCCCAACAATCTGGGTCCTCATTTTACTGGCCTCGGAAGGATGGAAGGCTGAGTCAACCTTGAGCCTGATGGGATTCGAACTGCCAAATTGCAGGCAGCTAGCAGCCAGCAGAAGTAGCCTGCAGTACTGCACTCTAACCACTGTGCCAACGTGGCTCATTATCCTTCTCATCTTCCTTATCTTCTCATCTTTCCTACTCCTTTCTCCTATTGGTATCTATGATTTATCACTTGTTGTTGTATCCTATGTTTATTTTTTAATATTTTTATTAAACATATTTCATCATTTTATATCATTTTTACAGTCTTTGCCGCGTTCCAGCACCAATAATACTCATATATACATATCAATTACGTTCCTTTTTCTTCCTTTAACTATATACATTGCCATTAAGTTTAATATACCGCTTACATTACCTTTACATTTAATCTTTACTTCTATCTTCTAACCATTTATACCATGTGTCCCAGACCAAATAATATTCCGTTTTCCCTCTATGTTGAATGATTGTAATTATGAACAGCTTCTCCCTATTAATTCACATACATGCAGAGGCAAGATGCTCTCTACAGGTGTGGAAACCATAGTAAACTCAGCTTGGAAAAATCATTGTGTGTCATTTTTGGGGTTTGGGGCCTGAGAGATTATAAGAGGCAGAGTGGAAGGATGCCAAATTAAGGAAGGCTGCTGGTGGGCTGCTACCCACACACACACACGCCCCCTCCCCCACATACCTGTGCATCTCCAAAGCAAGGTGTGTTGTTACCTGCTTGCCTCTCTCCTCCTGTTGGATCAACATGGCGGCCTGTTGCTGAGCCAGCTTCAGTCGCTCTTCCTCAGGCAACGAGGAAGGATCCATCTGCATGCGAAGAGGCGGGCCCAGAGTGGGGGGCGGTGGAGGAGGCCCCACGCCCATGGGGAAGTTGAGGCCCATGCCAGGAGGAGGGGGAGGGGGAGGCTGCATCGGGGGCATGCCCATTGGAGGTGGGGGCAAAGGAATGCCTTGGACCTGAATCGAGAGAGAAAGGCGTTACTCACAAGAAGCATCTCCTTCGTGGTTGGAAAAAAATATTAAACACCATATAGATCGGAAACCTGAAATATTTTTTTATTAGGAATGGTACCTGAAGGTTACAATAAAGAAGAAAGCATATTTAATCATACATGTATTAACAGCAGCTAGAATTGTGTTTGCTTAGAACTGGAAAAGTGATAAGATACCGATAGGAGGGAAAAGGAATTGAGAAAATATTTGAATGTGCAGAAATGAATAGATTAAAACTGGAAATTAAAGGAAAAGAAGAATCTGAATATTACATGGTATGGGATTTATTTTACCAATGGTTAGAAAACAAAACAAATTAAAAATGGATTAGATGAATATATAAAGCAATAAGAGAAGATAGTTAAAAATAGATATATTGGATATTACTTATTTGAAAATGTGATTATATTGTTTTATTGATAAGGAAAGTATTAATCATAAACTGTAAGCACACAAAATATGTACCTAATCAACACACGGTTGAAATGGATTTATTGTACCGTATTTGCCGGCGTATAAGACGACTTTTTTGCCCCGAAAAACATGCCTCCAAGTGGGGGGGTCGTCTTATACGCCAGTATATCCACTGCCGGCTTTCGGATGCTTGTTGGACGCAGCGAAGGCGCCTCTGGCTTCCTGGATCCCCTGCGTCGCTTCCGCTTCATCCCGCTCGCCTCGCTCCGCCCGAGGCTGCAGCCTTCCTGCTCTTCCCACGGCCCCTGGCACTCTGCCCTGCCGCTGCAGCCCCGGGGATTTCTGGAGGGCGTTTCCGGTGGTGGTGGGGGGTCGTCTTATACGCCGGGTCGTCTTATACGCCGGCAAATACGGTAATAAAATAATTCTTCTGTAAAACAAAAGTACTGCTGTTTCCCCCATTGCATGTCAAACAAACATTAAAAAAATAATTTTAAGTTAATTACTAATTAAGTATAGCATACATGAGTAAACTTTATAATTATATAATGCACAATGTATTTTCAATTAAAAATAAAAAAATCCAATGAAGAAAAAGATTTCAGTTTATATTATCCTCAACTGTTGATTCTTGTCTTCCTCAGTTGGTAAGTGGTTTCAGATTTATTAGTCTGTTTTGGACCATAGGAAGCCAATGTACCCAGAATGAGATTAATATAAAAAGGTCGTTGCTTTTAATTCTGTAATATAATATAGTTTGAAGTATTTTTTTTACTAATTTACCTAGCCCTTTCCTTACCTGAATTTTAAAAAATGTTGCAAAATATGTACTGTGTAGAGAGAAGCTATAGTTGCTTTAATTTTTAGAAAATTAGATATTTTTGTGTAATATTTTTGCAATTTTGCACTGTTGATTACATGTTTAAAATTAAAATGTTCACTAATTAGTTAACAATTTTACTTTTACTAATTTTTAAAGCAGTAACGATACCTTGAGAGAAAAGAACATTATTGCTTTATATATTTTTCAGAAAATTATTCTTAAAGCGGCATACATCTGCTTAAGAAATAAAAATATCTGTATTCGTGGAATAAATTAAAAGTGCAAAATTTTGCCTACAATTGAATGTGCTGTTTTTGGACAAGCTTCTATGTTTCTTATTTCTCCACCATTTTATTTGTGATGTGGGCATAATAATGACTACAATATTATTATTACAACTACTAAATTTCAAAATAGAAATGTTGCCTTACTTATCAAAACATTTCCTGTAAGGAACAAATGAAACATTCTCAGATTAAGTTCAGTGTTTAGTTTCTGTTGTATTTTATTAAATTACTAATGCCGCTCATCTCCCCAGACAGATGATATAAACCATTTTTCTTTGTCTCATCTGAAAAGCAGAGCACATGAAACAAATTTCTCATTTTTTCCCCTCAGATTTCCTCTGTTGATCACTAAGAAAATATATAACTCTGATTCTCGACATGAATGCAGCATATATGAAAAGTGTTCTTATAATTTATCATTATAAGATATAAATCTCACTTTATGAGAGAGTAAATTTATACTCTCAAAGGCTCGTCTCATATCAAAAACACCAAAAGATGTTGATAATAAGCTTTGCTTTGCTATGTGGCAGAACTGAGCTGATCTAAATTCAGATGCTTATCACTAGACTGATGGAGGTGAACTTCCTGGCTTCTGCTTTTCTATAGCAGGCCTTCCAATCTCTACTCCTGGAAGATGAATATTTTTAAAGGAGGAGACGAATTGTCTTAGAGCTGTGATGGCAAACCAATGGCATGCGGGGGTGGGGCGTAGGCGGGGGACGCGTACACATTGTATTTGGGGGATGCAGGTGTGGGCGCACGATTTGGGCACTCAGTGCCGAAAGGATTAGCCATCACTGTCCGATATCATAATCTCAATCAGAGATTACCCACAACATGAGAGTCCAAGGTGTGGAAAAAAGGGAAGTCCTTATTTTTTTTCAGAACTACAAAGGCAAATTTATATCCAATCTAGTGATTTTTAAAAATATACTCAAAAAGAGTTGCTCTTGGCATAATGTGATTGATAATACCGTTCGTAAGTGATTCTTACACTATTTGGTTTTTCTTACATAATAATTACAATTTCTTAATAATCGATGTTAGATTTTTTTCTAAAATGTTACTGTTGAAAATATTTTTTTCATTTCTTCTGTTTCTAATTTTTAGCTTCAGCAATTCTTCTATAACTTTGAATTCAACAATTTAATTTGTTGCTATTCTGACCAACTCTACCAAAATGAATACGTTTGACATATTCATATATGCAAAATCATTAATCCACCACAGACGTACACATATTGATTTAGCCTGATGACTGAAGTTCATTGTTTCTTTCCCCCTCCCCTTTGATAGTTAAACAAAGTTTTGCTGAAGCATATTGTCCTGAAGATGTGCAGATACCTTGCCTACATTCTGACTCACCAAATTTGGTAATCTTCTTTTGATGTTGTATCATAATAAAAAATTTCATAATCCAGTTTAAATATCTGCCTGACTGTGCAAACACCACCAACAATAGCTTTAATCTGTGTGTTATATCATGCGTTTTAAGGGGATTTTTCTATCTGCATTTTTCCTACTAACTAGTTATGCTCATGCTTGCAGGCCTCTAGAGTCCTAAAACTCAATTTATTGTCTGGGGATTCTCCAGAGCAAGGTTTTGTTGATGAAAAATATCTTCATTCTACTATATGAGAAGAAGTATCGACTCAAACGATAGATAGATAGATAGATAATAGATAGATGATAGATAGATAGATAGATAGATAGATAGATAGATAGATAGATAGATAG